GCCCTTACCTCCTGTCTCGTTTCTAGCTCTCTCTCTCTCTCTCTCTCTCTCTTCTCCCAACTTTCCCTTACTCCATCTCGTCCTAGCTCTCTCTCTCTCTCTCTCTCTCTCTCTCTCTCTCTCTCTCTCTCTCCTCTCTCTCCTCTCTCTCTCTCTCTCTCTCCACTCTCATCTCCACCTTGCTTTACTCTCTATCTCGTTCTAGCTCTCTTTTCTCTCTCTCTCTCCACCTTGCCCTTACTCTCTATCTCGTTCTAGCTCTCTCTCTCTCTCTCCACCTGCCCTACTCTCTATCTCGTTCTATCTCTCTCTCTCTCTCTCTCTCTCTCCACCTTGCCCTTACTCTCTATCTCGTTCTAGCTCTCTCTCTCTCTCTCTCTCTCCACCTTGCTTTACTCCAATCTCTTCTAGCTCTCTCTCTCTCTCCAGCTTTGCCCTTACTCTTCTATCTCGTTCTAGCTCTCTCACTCTCTCTCTCTCTCTCTCTCTCTCTCTCTCTCTCTCTCTCCACCTTGCCCTTACTCTCTATCTCGTTCTAGCTCTCTCTCTCTCTCTCCACCTTGCCTTTACTCTCTATCTCGTTCTAGCTCTCTCTCTCTCTCTCTCTCTCACTCCACCTTGCCCTTACTCTCTATTCTCTCTCTCTATTCTCATTCTTAGCTTTAAGCTTTCTCGCTCCTCTCTCTCTCTCTCTCTCTTTCTCTCCATATATACATATATATAATTATACATATATCCATCTATGTATCTATCTATCTATCTATCTATCTATCTATATATCTATATCTGCATCAAAAGACATATAAACTTCTACAGTCTACATAAACCTCTATGTTATGCGGATATATATATACACGTGCTATGTGCAGTCACCAAAGACACCAGAGACCTTTCACTGACCTAACGCGCTGCAATGCTTGCAAAGTCAAACACTGCGCAGACGCCCATGCCACTTTGCAAGAGTTCTACTTCCATCTCTACCCCGTCGATCCCCTCTCTCCCCTCTTAATCTACCCCCCCCCCCTCCCTCCTTCCCTCATGTCTACGCCCTACAACGCCGCCTCATCAATGATTCAACTCATCAAACTTTCTTGTATTATGTACGCATGCCGGGTTACGACGATCAGTGCGTTTGTTTGCTGTAATGTGACGGTTTTTTTCTTGTCTGGGTCGGGACGTGCGTACGAGCGTGTACGTGTGTGTGTGTGTGTGTCTGCAAGCTTGTGTGCATATGCGTGCACGTACAGTACATGCGCGCCCATGCTATACATGTGATCCCTCATAAATAGATGTAAGATTTTTATAGGCATCAATGATAGCTAATTCGCATGTACTGCTCCCCCCTCCTCCCCTCCCCCAACCCGGACCCGCCCCACCCGACACCAACAACTGACAGACAAAAGCTTAACAAAGCAGCAATACCGCGTCCTCGCCGAGTTTCGCACGCGGATTGACTGACATCGGCTGCGAGATGCTGACTGGGCTCATCCCTCAGCACTCACGAAATGATGAAACTTTTCCAT